CCTTGATGCCGAGGCCAGGTTAGATGCCCTGTTCTGGGCCCCTTTCCCCCAGGGTTCTGTCATGATTGAGTCAGTATTTGGCCTCTTTTGACTTTAGGGAGGCTCTGGTAGCAGAGGAATAGGGAGCCTGCTAAGCCCTGAGCTTTAGGAGAATAAATTGACCTCCAAATGGGCTCAGTTCTGGCTACCAAACTAGCTCAGAAGCCCTGGTGTTCGTTGGGTTGCTCCAAGCTCAGACTCCCACCTGGTTCAGGTAGGGGAAGCTTGCAGCCTGGGCAAGGGAGAGGAAATGCAAAGGGCCCAATAATAACACAGGAGGGGTAAAGGCTGTTGGCTGGACTTTCACCTGAGGAAGACACCACAACTGGCTGGGCTCCTTAGTCTCTGGATTTATTTTTACATCTGTTCTTTGCCCAGAATATTCCCCTTCACAGGAAACCCTCCTTTCCCAGTCTTTTTCAGAGCTCACATCCAGTCCTGTAGACCTCTCAGTCCCTTATCTCCTTCTCCAGGTCTGACAGGGATCCTGGAAGTGTTGTAGAGAAGGGAATGTATCACTCATTCGTTCAACATATGTTAAGCACCTGCTGTGTGCCAGGGACTGTGCTGGTGGTAATTAGTAACCAGGAGGTGACAGTGATTGGACAGGTGAGGGTCCTGCTCTTTCAGTGAATATATATATACAGTATATATATATATTCCTCACCTGAGGAGAGGGAGAGGGAGAGAGAAAGATGTGAGAGAAACATCAATCAGTTACCTCCTGTAGGTGCCGACTGGGGATTGAACCCACAACCTGGGTATGTGCCCTGACTGGGAATTGAGGCTGTGACCCTTTGGTGCATGGGATGATGCCCTAACCACTGAGAAACACCAGCCAGGACCAGTATTTTAATGGGAGCCAGGCAGGGGCTGCTTCAAAGTCAATAGTCATGTCTGCGCTGAGGCCTAAATGCAGAGCTCAGTTGGTTCCCAAAAGTGGAGGCTGCAGACTGGCCCAGTGCAACAAATGCAGAAGTCTTGAGAGAGAATGAGGTTGTCTTGCTCTAAGCAGCAAGAAAGCCATTGAGGCTGGAGATAAGATAGCTGCCAGAGTGGAAATTGGGGGAGACAGCCAGAATATACTGCAAGGTCCTCACTCACTATGATGCATGCATGTAATGGGAGAGTCATGAGTGGGATTAGGCGGATAGTGATGGGGCCTGACAGGGTTTATGATGTCAACCTGGCATGTGGAGAACAGTCCACAGCAATAAGGGCATAAATTGGACATCAGTGAGGAGGCTACTATGGGGATGAGGGTGGCCTGGCTTTGGGTGGATAGAGCTAGGAAGACTTGATGACCATCTGATTGTGGGCCTGACAGGGAGGTAGCTAGAGTCCAGGATGACTCCAGGTCTGCAGCCATCATGTGGATGGTGGGGTTGTGTGAAATGGGGGGGCTCTCACCTTCTGACTCCTCTCCACTGTGCCAGCATGGGTCATTGCTAACCAAACCTTGGCACCCTTTCCCCCAATGGCCGTGGAAAGCCTGTGGGAATCTAGACCTGTGAGGGGCCTGTAATCACCTGAGGTTGTTGGGCTGACAAGACATTCAGACTGTGCCAGAGTCCAAAGTGGCCCAAGCTGTCATGTTCCCTATTCTCTCCCCACTTAACCCTTGGCTTTTGATCTCCTGCCTGTCCCTAGCCCTGGCAGAAGGGTCTCTATGGTCTCCCACACTGGGCCTGCCAGATCATCCTCAGGGACTCTTCTGCTGAGGCCTGGGATGGAGGTGAGAGAGGCAGGGTTGTTTTTTTTTTTGGGGGG